TAAATGGAATCTCTTGGAAAAGCAGAGTGCCCATCAAAATCAGGATCTGTGTCTGGAGTTTAAAGGGTATTATCGTGTGACAGGAGCGGGCAGCTGTCTGCCCCGCAGAAAGCACCGTCACAACTGGCTATTTCGGCAGGATTGCAACCGTCTGGGTGAAAATGGAACTACGCAAAACTTGCACAGCTGCTGTCTGTGCTGCTCCCTTTCAGTAAATAAGCTCTCAGAAACTGCTGACTTGGCACTTTTGACTGGCCCCAGCGTTCACAAAACGCTCTCTCCACAAATAGATTTGGTCTTTAGTGTTAAGGAATGGCCTCACTATGGATGTATTTTTTTATTTGTTTAGGATGCCTCCCTCGCCACCGTTGTTGTTGCTTCTGCCCTCTCCCTCGCCTGCTTCCTCAGCCCGTGTGTGGGGGTTCAACCCGGGCAAGCTGTGCCAGGCTCACGCTGCCTCAGGGCTCCTGCCTCCCTGCCCTCCTCCCAGCACGGCTCTCCTCCCCGCTTCCCTATTGCCGATCTTCTCGGCTCTTTGTGTAGTCTTTGTGGTGCTTCTCTGTAGAGGAGAAGAAATGAACCCCGAGTTCATAAAATCAGCATTTCCAGAGCTCTGGGGTGAATTTCGCTGTGGAGCCAGGGTGGTGTGTTACCTCTGCCTGGGGTGCAGCTGGGCAAAGGTGGCTGGAGCAGGGATGGACCAAACAGAGATCCTGCCAGTCTGGCAGATCCTAAAGTGACTCCCCAGCTTTTCAGGGGAATAAGGGACAGCGGCAATGTGAGGGACCAGGCAATGCAGGTATTTCTTCCACATCTTAGACGTGGCCCCATGGCCTGCTAAGTTGTTGGGGAGAGCAGCGGAGAGGGGTGGCTGACTTAAGTGGTCCTTGCAGCAGGGCACGCTGAAACCCTGCGGCACTCTCATAGGGGCAATCACTGCGTAGCTGAGAGGGGATGCAAATCCCGCCAGTGGTTCTACTGACAAAGTAAGGAAGCACAACAAGATGAGAAAGAGCCACCGGTTTAACAGTCATGATGTCTTAGTATCAAGTGAAAGGGATTCTGTGAGACGCTACAGCTGACATTGTGCAGGAAGCCCCAGTCCCTAATGTCCCGCATGAGACATTTCCACGGGCATCCTGTAGTAGAGATTTTGGATGTGTGATGATGCTGGCAAAAGGATCTGTAACAGTCACCCTTGGCCATCTGACAGTTCTTGCTGTAATGTCTGCCTTGTGTGTCATGCACACCTTCCAGCAAGGCGTTTAGCACATTGTAAGGACTCTTTTAGCACCCTTAGCTCCTTCTTTTGGAAAGTCCACCGTGCCAGATGGGCTTTTAACACTTACCTTCTTTTTGAGGTAGGATCAGGCATGTGGCAGTGAAATACCCAATGCAAAAGATCAGTTGTCCTACAGAAACCATCGGTCACTCAGTGACACGTTGAGCGTTTTGAGAGAAACCCTCAGTAGAGTCACTGGAACCTGAATGCAGGCGTCACTGGAAGCAGAGCCCAGGCAAATTTAAATGAAGAAATGACAAGTGAGGACGATTGCCCAGCTCAACAAATGACTGCAAGGAAGGAAAGAAGGGTTCTTCACCTCTTGATGCCTTTCTGGAAGACATACTTTAGCCAAACAGTAGTTGAGTTTAGGTGAAACACAAGTTATTATACTCAATGTGGGGGAAGACAAATAACATCTGAGCTTGCTATAAATGAAAACTGTCAGAGAAGAAAAAGGAATAAAGGCTGTTTTTCACTTTCAGAGAAGTGAAATCCAGCAAATTAGAACATGAATAGCAACTGCATCAGTGATGCACATGCTGGCTTACGATCCTGCTTCCTCTTTCGGAGCTGCACTGGGTTCCCAGTCCTTGCAGGGGCAAGAGTGGTTTTGTGCTTCGGGTGCCTGCAGTTCGCAGAAGAGGCCAGTTTTCTTTGTTCTCCTCTAAAATGGATGTATTTGCTGTAGTCTCTTCGACCAGTGGTGGTCTGGTTCCCCTTGAATGTTCATGCGCTTTGGTGGTCTTGTGCAAAGAGCTTGTAAAGTGCTCTGGCATTGAAAGCACCACATAGAAAGCAATTGAAATTATTTCTTTAGGAAGTGGAAAAGAGCATGGTGAAAGTAACTATTTTTGTAGATTGTACAAAAATACAGAAAAATATACTTTTTTTTCTTTGGTAGTTAATAACAGCATAAACTCTTGCAACAGGATACTCTCTCCAAAGTAGCCTAAGACTCTGGTTGACGCTGGTGCACTTTTGGCTTTGGCAAGTTAAATTGGTGTCTTTAAATTTCAAAGCAGATCCCCGTTGCTCTCTAAATACATTCGGGATCTTCTCTTCTGTCAATGCCGGAGGTTTCTTGCCTTTCTGAGGAGGCTGGTGCCATTATCGAAGGGCTCTAATTCTTCTCCCCGGTCATTTTATGCCAATCCTTAGAGAAGAGAGATGGGAAGGCTCCTTTTGTTCACCCTGAGTGCACCTCTGTTAGCGTTTTAGTTTGAATCAGACGGATGTCTCTGTTGTCACAGTAACTGTACTTCGACTCACATTGCAAACCAGTCTTGGAGTGAGCAACCGGGATTGTTTTCAGATGAAATTAAAGTGAAAAATGTGCTCGAGGGGTGCAGCAGGTACAGTTCAACTGTGAGTGGCCATTCAAGTGAGTGGGAAGAGACCACGCAGGGTTAGTCCGAAGCAACCTTCCCCCTCCAAGGCCACACCACTTTGGTTGTGAACATGGGCTCCAGCAGCAACAGTGTCACTCTGTTCCTGCCTGTCCCCACTCCAGGGCACCCTGCTGCTTCCTCCTGCGGACCAGAGCTTTTGCCTCTTCTTCCCGTCCCAGGGCTAGACTCAATGGGACTGGGAGGAATATACCTTGCTGTCAGCGGTACGCACTTGGCCCTAGCAGCTCTTTTAGCTTCTAGGAGGTAGTGGATTTTGCTGGTGTTGCTGTTTTGTTGCACCTCTCACTCATTTTGAAGTCTGAAGCCCGTCTCAATGTATTCAAAAGGGCCGAAGGGAGTTAGACACCTCTGTATCCACTTGAAAGTGGATAGGACTTAAGGTCCTTCATTCATCCCAGACCTCTGGATATTAAAGCCCTTCCCAAGCACTCAGTACTTTATCATCTTGAGTGAAATGCATTCCTGTACAGAGAGCCAGCGTAAAACTTCTAAAGTCCAGGTAAACCGTCAGTAGGTTCACTGGTGTATGTGGGCTGCTGTGGTGCGTTCTCAGCAGGACTGCAAATCGAGCTCATCCTGAAACTGAAGTCCACACAGACGTACAGTCACTTTACTAAGCATCAGGTCTTTTAGAAAGCACGTCAGTAATATGCTGGTATATTCCAGTTCAACATTTTCTGGTTTTTAACTTCAAATAGCCTCAAGTCCATTACAATATGATAATCAAAGAGATTGTTTTCCACACACCATCTTTTTGCAAGCTGTGGTCTGAGGCTGCCAGGAGGATGTCTGTGAAGGGTGCTTGGCTTTGAAATGTGGTTTTCCTCCTAATCCCCCCCAGCCCGTTTTGGGTGATGTACCAGATACAGGGTAAACCCTGTCTCATCCTGGAGGCCTTCTGGGGGGCCCTGTGAAGCTGGATATGGCTTTGCTCAGGGGCATGGTGTGCAGCAGTTTAGCTTTATGACCAGGTCAGAGAGTTTGGTGGAAAGCTCCTACAGAATGTTGATGCTTCGGCAATTATATATCACCTGGTCTTGGAGGGAAATCTGCTGAACTGCAGTAAATGAGAATTAATAGGAAACAACCTGGATTTCCATCACCCGACAAAGAGAGGAGCTCATCGCGCTGCACTGGCAGCAACCTATTCTGCCTGCACCGCAAAAAAATACCGTGACTTTCTGCACTGTGCGCAGCGATGGGATCTGATACTCACCCTGTCAACAGAATAAAGTCTTTGGATTTTCAAGATGTTTGTTGAAAGAAGACAACTCCTTTAATATGCAGCCTTTCCCCATGAATATGTATATGTGTCTACTTGTAGATATGAAAATGCTAGATATTGGTGAAGGCAATAAAAGCAGGGTAAGAGGTATGGACAGTTATTAATGCCCATAACCATTTATGTTGGCTCTTTCCAAACTTACATGCCAGAGCTAGAGAAAGATAATCTGGTATGTGCTCAGCCAAGCTTGGAAGGCATCCAGTGGACATGCACTCGCTGTCACTGTCTATGTAAAAATTAGGCGTATGAGACATGTATTGGATGATACTGCTGATCTGGAAGCGTGTAGCAGTTTCTATCATGTTAGCCACCTCTATCTGACAAGGACAGACTGTTGCTCTGTTCCCTTTTGAAACTTTGGCAGGGTATAACGTGAAGCCAATGTCTTTCTCAATTAGAGATTTGTGTGTCACTAGGTTTGTTCTTCCATGAGTTTTACTTCTTTTTTTTGTCGTTGCTTTTGCTCTATTTCCCTTAGCCCAAGTTCACATCAGATGCAATAGTGATAAATGTCATGGCTTAGGAAACAGCCAAGAGGACAGTATGACTGAGAAACGGGTTGACAGACCAAAGATGGAAAAAAAAAAAGGGGGGGCAAGCAGCTGTGCAGAGGTGAGGTTAGCGATAGGAAGAACTGACAGGGTAGGTGAGCTGTGTCTTGTGGCTTGGCATCTGCAGTTTATTCTGTAAATTTTTCCCCATTCAGCAGTATAACATGCTGTCACTGTGCTTTCATATGACAGTTTCTCTTTTATGAGACTCAAGTGTCTCACTTTCTGAATAGGAAAATTCCCAACGTAGATTAGGGTCTGAATAATAACATCTCTTAAGTTCGAGTCTGATGATTATGGGTCACCCTTCCTGTCTCGATGTTGATTTATATCAAACAGGACAAAGCATCTGAGCACAATGAGATCGAGCCCCTGGGTAACACAGAAACGGACTCTTTAATTGCCCCTAAACCAGTTCCCCGGGATGGGATCAAGAGGTTGCTCGGTGCCCTGAGCGCTAGGGTTCCCCAGCAGTGAAGTGCTGACACTTCAATGCATTTGGCATTTAGCAGCGCGGGCCTCGGGCTGCCGCACCAAAGCTGTGGTAACAGTACGGCTCTGGGGCGATTGGTAGGTGTTTGGTCAATTTGCAGAGCAGAGATTAGCATTTTTGTTCATTTAATTTGCTACGGGAGTCCCCGAGAGTTGTGTGGCCAAATCCCACACACCATTATGAAAATGTCATCCTACACTTCTGTCATTGTTATTCCTCCGGTCAGCAATAAATGATGCTTAATCATCAGATGGAAACCAAATTTTAAAAGTTAAGAATGAAAAAAAGAGAAACCCAAAAGCCCAGGGCATATTTAATACGGAGTGGAGATGGAGCTATTCATTCTTCCAAGGCAGAAACTAATGGGAAGGCACTGAAAATGTCAATATTGCGAGATTGGTTTTTATTAGCCGTTACAAAATCCCTCATTTTTCTCAATCCCATGATGAGTGGGTGAGTCTCCCTGCCACAGAGCCATCACTTTCACTCACAGCTAACGCCTGTCCTTTGGTTATTGTTTATTGTTTACACTACGGGTAGGCCAGCGTGGTGCTCCGTTGTCTTAATGACTATAAAAATTTGAGTCTTCATTGCTCAGAGGCGCTCGAACTTCCATGGAAATACCCATCCCCTTTCATCAGGGATTGGGTAAAGCTCACAGGGAGCAAGTGCCTTCTCTGGGGCTCCAGAGCAGGATCTTTCAGCAGGCAGAAAATACATCCGTGCACTCCGATTTTTCCCGTGCTCCCAAGCAGCGATGGCGAGCGGGGTTCGTTCGCCTGCGTCTTTCTCTGCAACAAAATCTTGATACGCGATGCAGACTGCCAATACCAGCACGGTTCGCACAGTTTGCCAAAAGAGAGGGCAAGATGGATCTCCTGGCCAAATTTCTCCTGGGGAATGAAACTCTATCTGCCCCAAGTTTTCTCGGCAGTTTCAGTTGAATATAATACCCTGCACTTCCTGACCTAAATCGCTGCATTGTGTTGCTGAACACTTAACTAGCTGCTGCCTTTCACCTCAGAGGCATGAGCCCCGTAGGGCTGAGCTCAGCAAAACCTTCTCTCTCGTTTGGATAAGCAATTAGTGGAGTTTTCCAAATGCTTTGGGATCCATCTGGATGAAAGGTGCTGCCTGAACGGGAGGTTGTGTTAGAGAGGAAAGCTTTGGCAACCGGACAAGAATTTGGCTAGTAGCAGCACTGACATTTCTTTTGGTTTTGTTTTTTGTTTTGTTTTCTGGTTACAGAGAAGGGGGTTGTCTCAGGGCCCTTACTTCAACGTATATGGAGAAAAAGGAGGTGTGGAGCACCGTGGGTCTAGCCCGTTCCCCGAAGGTCCGAGCGACTACGTCTTCAGTCATCTTCCGCTACACTCCCAGCAACAGATCCGAGCCCCCATCCCCATGATGCCTATCGGGGGTATCCAGATGGTCCATTCAGTACCGGTGGCCCTTTCAGGTTTACATTCTCCGTCCGCTCTGGCCCTGCAGCGGGAAGGCTCTGAGGAGAAGCAAAGAGGAACTGGGGAAATCCTTACAAAAGAGTCGTATAGTATTTCTAAGCCCCACGAGAAACGTACCTCTCCGCACAGCTTACACCCCAGCGCTCCCTCCAGCGCGCCCTCCTCTCCCTTGCTGTTGCTGGCGCAGAGCACGTCGGAGGACAGTGTCATAGCTACCGAGAGGGAGCAGGAGGAGAACATCCAGACTTGTACAAAAGCCATAGCCTCTCTGCGAATCGCCACAGAAGAAGCCGTTCTGCACGGGGCTGAGCAGCTGCAGAGGCCTTCTGAGCCTCCCCAGAAACCTTTAGAAAGTGCACATTTTAGCATTAAACACTTTAGTGGATCTGAGCCGGGCCAGACCTGTGCCTCAGCCACCCATCCTGACTTGCACGGTGGTGAACAGGACAGTTTTGGTACGTCCCAGACTGCGTTAGCCCAGCCCAGCTTTTACAGCCAGAGCTTTGTGGACGTCCGGCCCTTGGGCTTTCACAGCAGGAGCGACCCCCCCTCAAGCACACACGAAAGAAAGGATCCGTCGTCTGAGAAGAGCAAGCCCCATTGATCTGAGATGCATGGAGACTTTCGCCCATACATTTAACCCAGTTTTTTTTTGTTTTGTTTTTTGTTTTGTTTTGTTTTTGTTTTTTCCTAGAGATAGAAGAAGTATTCAACTTTACAGCATGCCTGTTCTAAGTTACGGTAGTTTGCTATTATATATACTTTTGTTATGTCAAAAGAATTAGATAAAATAACAAGTCATCATGAGCCTGACCAAAACTAAATTTGAAATTCTTATTGGGTCTGGTACTTTTAAATTGTACAGATGTTTGTGCCTTTTCTTTACTTTGCTTATATTCTTATAAGCATTTTTTTAGCAGTAATTTGTACATATTTTAGAATTTGTGTATCTGCTTTGTAATAAATGTAATTTCTTTCCTTTTTTGGACACTTGGATCTAAATGATGTAAAGCAAAACAGCATCAATATATGTGAGGTTGCACTAAAACATATTTTTATATGATTAAAACTGAACAGCTTTTATGTACAGCTCTGATTCTGTAATACTAATATTTATTTACTTTGTTTCATAAATTGTAAATTTTTTTCTTAATGTTGTGGATTGCTTTTCTATGTGAAGCATGGGATTTACTGTTGCGTAATTAGAACAAAATGTATATTGTAAAACAAGATATTTAAACTAGAGTATCTTATCTTATTCTGCACTTATGCATTAGTTAAAAAAAAAAAGATAAAGGATGTATCAGTCAGTTCTTAACTCTTGTAATTTTTTTTTTTTGTCTCTTGTTTGCCGGATTGACTATAACTTAAGTGCTGATTGTGATTTTAAACCAATAGTACCGTAAAGCATTAAAGTAAAACAATGTGCTATTGTGAGTTTTTTCAAAGCTTTATAAAACAGTTATAAATATATTAAAAGTATTTGGTCTTATGTGAACATGTTGATCTATATACTCCTTTAAAAAACAGGCTATGGGAAAACATTCCACCCCAGGTAAATATGTGCAAGCGCACCACGGGTGCCATCCGTG